CTCCCACTCAGCGACTCCATCCACAGGGGTCCCTGCGCACAGCAAGGAGCAGAGCCCCCAGGATACCTTGTGCTGGGCAGGTGACACGAGGGAGAAATAACCTCCGTGGTTCTAGCCCATGAGAGTTGGGAGGTTGCTAGTGCAGCAAAAGTTAGCTGTCTGGACTGACACACAATGGTAAGTAGCAGAGCAGACAATGATGAAGAAAGGATTTAATGATTGGACTAGGATTTTTTCTTTTAAATCCTCACCTAAGGATTTCCATGGATCCTTAGAGAAAGAATGGAAGAAGGGAGGGAAGAGAGACGATGGAAGGGGGGCGGGGGAAGAGAGAGAGAGCGAGAGAGAGATGAGAGAGACACATAGATTGGTTGCCGCCCACCTGTATTCCAACTGGCGCTTAGGGATGAAACCTGCAACCCAGGTACATGCCCTTGATTGGTAACCAAACCCGTTACCCTTCGGTCCACAGGCCGAAGCTCTAACCACTGTGAAACACAGGCCAGGCTGTCGTAGGAATTGGAAAAATTTGCCCAGAATGCAAAATGGAGATATAAAGGAATAAAAAAAATAATGAAATGATAGCTGTAAGTTATGAGTAGGAGGAATAAATGGTCCAGAATAGGTATAATTAGATATGCAGAAAAGGACAAACAAGCAAAATGTTTCATGTCAATATTCAAATGAATGATGGATAAGACTTTTTAAAAACTGAAAAAGGGAAATTTGTCTTCCAGTTGAAAATCATCACATGAGAAAAACTAAAAATAAATGCATAATTAAACATATCATAACGAGAGTGTAGCACTCCCATCGCAAAGAGAAAATCTTAAAAGCAAACAGAGAAGAAAAGACAGACCACATAAAAGATTGTCAATTTGACCAACAGAAGACTAATTAGCTACTGTAACAAAGAAGAGAAAACAATGTAACCCTGTCCTCAAAGTACTGAGGTGAAAAATATTGTCAATTAGGAATTCCAAATATAGTTTAACATTATACATGCAAAAAAGCCAAAGAATGATAATTCATGAAAAACAATATTAAACAGTTTACTATTAAGGGAACATATGGGTATGTTGAGGCAAAGGGACCTGAACTCAAAGGAAGTGAGATGCCAGAGGAATGATGAACAATAAATTAATAAGTGAGGGAAAAACCTATATAAGTTGAGCCTTGATTATATTAAATGTAAAACTAATAATTATGAACTGGAAGAAAAATCAAGTTGAGCTGAAATACTATGCACACAACAGTAACTTGAAACTCTGAGAGGCATGATTAGAGTTACAAGTCTATAGGTCTGATTGGAGAACACTATTAAAATTGGGGCACTGCTCAGCTTACATTTTAAGTGAATCTACTAAAAATGAAAGAGTCCAAAGTAGAAGAAGGGATAGTGAAATAAAGGAAAATAGGTTAGCCCATTAGCAGGTGGGAAGAAGAAATATATGGAAACAGAAAACCAACACAAGATATGCAGAGACACACACAAAAACTATCACAATATATGCAGGCACATAAAACCTGACACAAAATAAGATGGTAGAGAGAACGTTATAACATTTTGGGATTCAAAATAAGTTCAAACAATTCACTTCTCTGGATAAAAGAGAGAAAATAAACCAGATTTAAAAAACAAACAAACAAAAAACATAGCTCACTGCTACTGACAGGAGACCTGCCTACAGTGAGATATGAGGGTTGAGAGCCAAGTAGGAGAGAAATCCTAGGCAAATGTTAAATAACCGCAGCAGGTATGGCACTATTCACATCAGATAAAGTAAATATTAGGTTAAGAATCATTATGGAGAACAAAAAGACTCATTCCATAAGGATCGAAGGTCAAGTCAGGAAGTTCAAGGGAATCTGATGCCCATGCATGACCAGTAGCCCCGTCACAGGACTGAGCAGTGACGCTGACCCTGACCCTCACTCCTCACCCTGGCCTTCCCTGCCTGGTCTCCACGGGACCTCACATAGTTTGAATGCTTCACTGGTTTAGATGTCTCCCTGCTGGAGAGCAGATTGAAAGATCAGGGCCCTGACGCAATGTATCTGCAGCCCAATTGCTGGATCCTAAGACAGGGGCCCGGAAACAGTTAGAGCCCAATAAATGCTTGTTGAGGGAACAGAGGGTCCAAAGGCCACGCACACGGCCTGCTCCTGCCCTTTGTCCACAGGGAGGGCCGGATGGCCCCGAGCAGCCTGGCGGTCACAGCGAGCGGGTCACTCAGCCACCTTTTCATAGTGAAGCTGACAGACACCTGCTTGGCGTTACAATGTATCATACGCTCCCTGAATCCTTCAGTGACCTCTCAGTGCCCACACTGCGATCGCCATTTCAGTCTTCAAAGCCAAAGCCAAAGGTGAAAGAATACATCTCTACTATATTCTACAGGAAAAACTCATCGATAATAAAAATGATGGACGCAGGACATGGGCATTTTCCGGCAGCGGCTTATTGTCTATTACATTCGGAAACGCCAACTGGGACACATTTTAGTGTCAGCAACAGGGGTGTTCGCTCAGCTCCAACATCACCCCCAGGGTGTGGTAATGCTCCCCTCCGCACAGGTGGCCTCATCTGGGCCGGGAAAGGCCCCGGGAGCGGACTGCAGAGAAACAGAGAGTGTACAAACCCCGCTTTAAATATATATATATATTTATTGATTTCAGAGAGGAAGGGAGAGAAAGAGAGAAACATCAATAATGAGAGAGAATCATTGATCAGCTGCCTCTTGCACGCCTCACACTAGGGATCCAGCCTGCAACCCGGGCAGGTGCCCTGTCGGGAAATCTAACCATGACCTCCTGGTTCATAGGTCGATGCTCAACCACTGAGCAACACTGGCCGGCTGCATGTGGTCCTTTATTGGCTGGTTTCTTTCATTATCTTAGTTTTAAGGCTTGTACAGGGTGAAGCATACATCAGCATTCATTTCTTAATCAATTTTAATTGGTTAATAACAAGATGAAAATACAGAAAGGAATGTGACCACCTCACTCCATTTGCTCCACGTGTGTAGGTTGGACTAAACTTACTGGTATTAACAAAGCAACTTTAATTCATGCAAATCCATGTAGCTTGCTAGTCTCCACTTTACAGGTGAGGTGGCGGGGGTGGGGAGGAACACCCTCAAAGAGATTAGTTTATCTTCCCAAATATGGGAGCAAGGATTGGAGCACAGGGCTCTGAAAGCAACGACCGAATATGCCCACTTGGTAGATGGATACATGACAGGACCCCTCCATGGCCCACTCAGCCACTGGACCTACGATCCCAGGTGCACCCGGGACAGACTCGCAGAAGCCGAGCCAAGCCCGGTCCATCAGTTCTGCCGGCTCTGTCGGGGCAGCGAGGCAGCCAGTCAGAGGCCCGGCAAAGGAGGCTGCCCAACCATCACCGCCCTCAGATTCCACGACACGTTCTTCACCACGAAAGGAACCCTGGGCCCCGCAGCCGACACGCCACACCCTTCCCTCCCCTCGGTCCCCGGAGCCACTCACATCTGCAGAGGAAGGCGGCCGCCGCTGGCTGGAGCCCTCTGGCCCACATGCCAGCCCCAGGCCTCAACACCGCACCTCAGGGCTGGGGGAGACCCAAGCAGCCGACCCGACATAGTGACCCGACATAGTCGGGGAGACAAGACCCGGGATCACTGTTTTCAGCCTCGGGTTTGGGTGGTTTGTTACAGGGCGATACTAACGGGCACAGAAAAATGCCGCTCTCCACGTTGGCTCATGAGAAACATCAAAGGAATAAGTGAAATAATTCTGTTCTAAATTTTTAAAATTGAGTGTTAAGAATAATCTTCCCCGAGAGTCAAAATCACAGGCTAATACTTACATGATGCCAACAATCCCTGTGCTGAATAACTGAGCATTTCTATCTTGCTTGGCAGATAAGCTGGCCATCAAGAGATAATTACTGCACCTTTTAAAACAATTCAGCACTTTCCTGTGTGCGCACCAGTGGAATGAGCTCTCTCTCCGCTGTGATGCCTAGTTCACCGCCGTCAACGTGAACATCAGTCAAGGTCACTTTAAGGACAGACGCTGCGATGGATGGACTGTGTCCCCTTAAAATCGATGTTGAAATCCCAATTCCCTGACTGCCAATGAGACCTTATTTGGAGAAGGGTCTTTGCAGATGTGATCACGTCGGGACGAGGTCACAGTGGAATAGGGTGTCCCCTCACCCCATGACCCGTGTCCTTATAACAAGAAGGACATTTGGACACGACACGCAGGGGGACCGGGAGATCTGAGTGACGGAACTTCGAACAAGGAACACCAAGAACTGCGAGGAACAGGAGGTGGAGGAGGCCAGGACGGAGCCCCTTGGCGCCTTCAGGGGAGCCGGCCACCTGCACCTCGAGCTCAGACTCTAACCCACGGGACCGTGAGAGAGGAAATCCCTGTGCTTGGTAACACCCAGTTCACGGTGCTTCCTGACAACCGCCTTGGGAAAGCGACAGACACCCCTGCACAGACACGCTGCACGTTTGCAGATCTGTATCTTTCATTAAGGGAAACAACGTAGACAGATTATTCCTGAACGTTTCCCCCTGAAGTCCTGAGTATTTGTAGGGCCGAGTTAACTTCATATTCGTGTAGATTTGACTAATGAAACATCCTCTCCTGTAAAACCATTTGCAAAACTGCAGCACCATTTACCTCATTCTCCTTCATTCCCAATACTCTTTCCATTACGCCAAACTCTGGAGTTTTAAATTCCGAAATTCATCAGAACCACAGAAAGGCGGCCTGAGGGAGCCCCCCGCAGAGAGACCTGGGAAAGGTCTTCTTTTCCTACGCGCAGGTTCAGTGTACCTGTCACTGCCTTCACGAACTGCAGCCTTTCGGAAAACCACCACAAATGAGCTCATGGTGGCAATCTGTCCCGAAAAGTTGTTGCTGTTTGTTTCCATAGAAACTAAGCACGCCAACCAGAGGCGAAGGAGCTGTGAGGAGCCTCTTCCCTGTGGGGAGCTTACCTTTCAGGGCAGTTCCTGGGGCCGCATGCTGTGCAGTGACTGCATGTCAGTGATTCCTAGAATGAGAACAAAACACACAATTAGTACCTGTGCGAGTATAAATGAGCTCATCTGTATCAGATGCGTCACTCCTCCCACTTTACAACGGGCTTAGGAGGAAATGAAAACCCAGTGCAGCCGGCGTGGCCTTCGGGACTGATGGAACCGCCCAGAGGGGCCAGATGGCCAGGTCCTCCCTGCTCTGCCTCCTCTGGCCACGTGACGTCGGACGACTCCCCCCCCAGCCTGTGTTAGTGGAAGGACTCCAGGAGCCCAGGAGACCTGGTGGTGGTCAGACTCAGTAAAAAGAGATCATCTCCTCAGAAGGCACTTTCCAGAGGGTTTAATATCATGAAATGGTGAGCAAGGGAGGAGGAGACCCCCGCGGTTCTTGGTATTTATCTAAATATGTAAAATGAGGGTAAAGATACCACAAAACAAACTCTCCCCATAAATACGGCATTATCTGTCCTCTTAAGGCGACCAAGTTAAACTTAGATTGCAAAATAATTTTGCACCTGGGAGTATTTCCCCCTGAAGCAATAGTTTTTCCCCTCTCAGGAAAATATACACACAATATTATCAAGAATAAATGCATATATTCATATCTCCATGTTTATGTGTAGGTGTGTGTCCTCTAAATGAGTTTCTACTGTACATAAATTTACATGTGAGTAAAGTCATTGTCTTGAGGTATTTTTATGATTGAAAATATCACTAATGTAGATGTATATGTAGATTGGCCACTCAGAAATATCATTAATTACACAAGTCTAGTCTAACTTCCATTTACGTGTAGCTTTCAATGAAAACGGATTCACTGTTCCTCATTGGAAACACTGCCCAACCACTGTGTTACAAAGTGAAGTAACCGAATGTACATGAGACACGTTTCTCTCCTGACAGACAGACTGGAGACAGAGCAGAGCCGGATGTGAACGATTCCAGAGTTTATAGGACCACAGATGTCCTTCTTAACCACGCCGATATGTCAATTTCCAAGTGGGAATGGGAGAGAGTAGCTCGGACAGAACCAAGCCTTCAGAGACAATCTATCACAAGGCTAAATAGAAACCAAGAATAAAGTTAAAACTGATATGAATGAAAACTAAAATAATGGTACTGAAAACACAGGCTATTAAAATTACGGTGACCCCATGCAAGGGAAAGGAATTTTGGAAACCTGATCTAAAAGCATGGCCCTTTAGACATCACAGAAGTCGGCATTCTGGTGACTGCTCCGCCCCATCACTCGGGAGAGCTTGTTTGAAAGCCCTCAGCAGTCTGGATCAGACTCTCACCATTTCCATCTAAACCTACGGAACTGGAGGGTTTTGCTGTTTTGTGTTGTTTTGTTAATCCTCACCTCCAGGTATTTTTCCATTGATTTTTAGAGAGAGTGGAAGAGGGGTGGGGGGGGAGAGAGAAACATCGATGTGAGAGAAACAGTGATTGGTTGCCTCCTGCAAACACCCCAACCAGGGCTGGTGATGGAGCCTACAACCCAGGTTCATGCCCTTGACCAGAATCGAACCCGGGACCTTCCAGTCCACTGGCCGACACTCTATCCACTGACCCAACCTAGCCAGGGCTGGAGTTTTAATGAACTCTCCCAGGGCCACGTGGCTCACACCTGGGTGCACACACGCTGACCGCCGATGGACCCGACTCCTGAGTGGGAGCTGTTTTACGGCTAAGTGATCCAGGGTTGTTCCAAGGCACGTTTCACAAGTGGGGCAATGCTTCGGACAAATACGTGTTTATGAGGGAGATAAGAATTAATGTGCCCTGTGAACAGAAATGGGTCCCCTCGGGGCTGTAAGGGGAATGGCTGGGCCAGAAGGGTATCTGGCATTTCCCATTAGGAGAGTCGAGCAACCCAAGGCCTCCACGTGGATCCATTCGCCATTTGTGTCAGACTTCTTCCCTGAGAGGCTATCGGGGGCCGGTGCTGCAGAAATGAAAATATCTTACGAACGAGAGCTTACCTAGGATGCTCTAAAAAGGGTTTCGCTGTTGCGATTGTAATTATTCTTAATTATAACCGCTGTTCCCTTTAGAGCAAGGGAACTCCGGGAGTGCCTGCGCGATTTGCTCAGAGAGAAAGACCAATAGTAATCAACAAAGAAATGATCAACCGAACGTAGGCTCCTGCATAATAGTTTCAGAGTCAGCAGCGTGGACGGTTCTGAGCTCGCGTGGATACTGGCCTCGGGATAACCCATGGCAGGGAAACGTGACACAGGAAACTGGCGACGGTAATCCTTACGCGCGTGGCAAATTACAATGAAATACTGACTGGCGTCTTGTATAAAATGTACGCGCCATTAACCTTAACGACACCGATAAAGCTGCACAATGAAGGTCAACGACAAGAGCAGGTGTCCACCTGGGACACGGGAAATGTCCATTAACGCTACGGTAACATGGGGCGTAGGTGTTAAATGGGAAGGGTGACTGAAACCAAACATTAAACCCAGGGTGACACAGGGACCATGAATTTGGGCACATAAGCTCCACTTGGCCAGGACCCCCTGCCCTATGCCACCGAGGATGTTTCCTATGATGTGTGTGTGTGAACTAGTTTTCTTGTTAAAAAAAATGTTTTTATCGTTTTTGCAGGGAGAGAAAAAGGGAGAGGGAGAGAGAGAGACACTGATCAGCTGCCTCCTACACACACTGTGGGGATGGAGCCTGCAACCGGGGCATGTGCCCTGACCGGGAATTGAACCAGTTACCTTTTGGTGCAGGGATGGCACCCAACCGACCGAGCCACGCCGGCCAGGGCCGACTAGTTTGCTTATCGCGCAGCTCTGTCTACAACATGAACACATGTCATGTGTGTTGAAAGATAGCAAAGCATTTTAGAGCTTGAAGGGTCAGGGGAGAAAACTCAGTTCCACGTCACAGTGGAACCAAATACCCAGCCCAATGGTGGGCTGCAGGCCAGGGTCTGGTGCCTCCGTCTAACGCTCCCTCCACAATTCCATCCCCACGGCCCTCGGATTTTTGTTCCCACTGCTTTCTCTTCGCTAAGGCACCTTCTGCCTTCATTCTCTGAGGTAAAGGTTGGGGAAGACCAACTTTTCAAATAAAATAAAGGAAAAAACGCCAAAAATGTGGATTTTGATGGATACCCAAAATGCTCTTGAGATCTTCCTTGAAATTTGAAAACATTTATTTAGTTATTTTTTTGTTATTAATATAAATGAGGTCTTGGAAGAGTTGAACTCTCTTTTTATAAGTCTCCTCTCTTTGAAGAAGCCAGAAAGGATTTAGGCTCTCAGACCCAAAAATGTGGTTTCTAGGCATTGCTCACTCAGCTTCCTGTCCCTCTGGCATATCTCTGCATATTCCAGAAGTCTAAGATCATAATGGCGCTACTTCTCTTATGTGGTACTTGTGAATATGAAGTAATGTACATAAAATGCTTGGGAAAACAACTATTATTTTTCCCCTTCCATTGAATCTTCCCTCTTTCATTGGAGGAGTATAAACAAATTGCAGCATTTAGGATCGTACTAACAGGCAGCGACACGTGGATTTCCAAGACTCTGTCATGACAAGAGAGAGCTTCAGGGGCCTGCCCATGCCACAGACAGACAACTTCAATACGCGAAACAAAGCGCTCGCCTGCACACAGATCGGACCATGCCCCCCTCTGCATCCTCAATTAGAACAGAGAATCCGTGGCTCTCACATACAGGGAGGGGGGCGATTATACAAAAACCTGGTTAATCTTAGAAATGCTTCAAGGGGGAGAAGTGCAGAGACATCCTGTGCAGGGGAAAGACCCTGGCGTGTGGGAAGACACTTTGGTGTAGCTCACCATTCCTGAGGGAGGCAGGTGTGTCTCCAGCCCATGGCAACTGCTTGCCCAGATCCTATCTGGTGAAGGACTGACTCATAGGACGAAGTATGGATATGCTCACCCACCTGCTGTTCACCTATCAGATCACCCCATCCAAGATTAACATTCAAATTAACTTTGACCTCCAGGTAGAGAAGTACCAAACAATGGGGAGATGAACTCTGATGACTAAGTGTCGGAAGGGAGTTCTGGGAGTCATTCAGCAGACGCCTGCACCAGTGGATGCACCAGGCCAGAGTGGTCGGCAAACTGCGGCTCGTGAGCCACATGCGGCTCGTTGGCCCCTTGAGTGCGGCTCTTCCACAAAATACCGACTTCTGCGCATGGGCCACGAAGTTTCAATCGCACTGTACGTGCGCGCCCGCATGTGGTATTTTGTGCAAGAGCCACACTCAAGGGGCCAAAGAGCCGCATGTGGCTCACGAGCCGCAGTTTGCTGACCACTGCACCAGGCGGATGACTTTGAACAGTGTATCTTCTTGGGAGAAAGGGATGCCAGCTCCCTGGGCTGCGGGAGCTGAGAGCGCACATGGAGCCTTTTAGAGAAATTACTAGCATGCTGTGCTTGGTTTGCTGTCTCCCACCTTGCATTTTACAAACTGTATCTAAGCCTGGACGATAACAGCCCCAATTCCTTTCACAGCAGCCGCGCTGTGTGAGAAAAATTGACAGATTAACCCGGAAAACAGCTCCCACATCACCGGGAGCTCTGACGGCCCTTAGAACAGGCCTGTGGGCAGGA